AATAGCCATGCCTATAATCAAGGCCAAGAACTTGATTAAAAGAGACCATAAAGCACTGGTGCTTTTCAAAACAGTGTAAGAGTATAAGGTGTTGGCACATACCGGCACTGACCCTGATTCTGTAGGCGTTGCAGCAGCCTGCATTAAAATACAGCTTTTCAAACTTTCAGTTGCTGAGCAGCTACCAGCCCTTACTTGTATCCAATGAATTCATCTCCACAGCAGAAGAAAACAGAAGAGCGTAGGCCCCTAACAGCAACAGCCCTTTATGTCTGTATATCCAATGGCAAACGCAGTTCTTCAACTTTCTGTGACTGTGGACACCAGTATCCTTCCTAGCTCTGGAGGTCTTGCAAAAAAATGAGTTTGTCCAGGTTTAGAATCCTTTACCCTGACAATATCCTTACTTCTGACCGCACTTAAGAGTTGATCATTATCAATAGCAGTGCACTGCAGTTCTTGCAGCTTCAGTAACAACTCAGTGCTTTAGGCTGTAGAATTCCAAAATCTAATCCTAATTCTTACTTTAATTATAACTATGAGACTTATGTCTATAGCTACAAAACAAAAGAAATCTCATAAATCACTGGCCTTTATTGACACCAGGCTTTATTGCTAATACTGATGGCCCTGCAGCATCCAGTAACAATACAAGTTCTTCAATATTTGTATTCCTAACCTAACCCTAACTGTTACCATGCTTTAAACACGGGCATATGCTGACAATAATACCTATGAACACCAGCACTTTCTAATGTTCTTGGGCAGCAGCATGTGGTAACAAATTTGGACCTTCATGCATGCTGGCCCGTACATATGCATATGCTGTACCAGAACAGGAAACAAGGCATTTCCAAATACTGGCTTCAGTTCCTTGCCAGCTCTGTGGGCCTGCAGCAGCCAGTCGCAATCTGTGTTCTTCAAGATCTATAGTGCCAAACCCTAAAGCTAATCCTAACCATCATTCTAACCCTCATGTTAGTGATAACAAATGGCTCATAGTTTTGAGAAAAGAAGGAATACTTTGACCCTCTCTCAGCTGCAGGCTTCTTCCCACGTCATCAGGCCCTGCAGAACCCTGCAATAATGCAACTTCCCACCTTCCAGTAATAAGTTTGGTTCCTGACACACTAGATTTCCAAGCTCTATTGGAAACTGACCCCTGACAGTATCTCTGCTTATAACCAGTTGCTCCTTTCTGTTGTAGATTATAAAGCACTGGCCCCACTTGACACAAATTTTCTTCCTAACTGCAGTCCTTACAACATCTAGCAACAAACCAGGTCCTTCAGGCTTTGGACTCCCAAATCCTGGTTCTAGCTATAACATCAACATCAGCATAATTATAACCAAAAGACGATGTCTTCAAGTGAAAGAGAATATAAGGTGTGGCCCTCTAGTAAGGCTCATCGACTTCGTATATCTGCAAGCCCTAGAGCATGCAGCAACTATCTTAGCTCTTCAAGGTTCACATTTCTGAATCCTAACCATAATCTTTACCTTAATCAAGGAATTCATCTCTACAGTTTAAAGAACATAAGATGCATTGACTCCCTCCCTCTTCTTATCTCCATGGGCCTATAGTGTCTTCATTCCCTTTAGTTAGCTGTAGGGGATATAGCAATATAATACTGCTTTGATGATCCAGTTTGATGACATTCTTCCCAGTGTAGAAGTGTTTGTGAATTACCTTTCTAGTAAAGAGTTTTCATCAATTCCTGTTTATCAGCAGTGGGGGGTGTGGGCAGTAGGATCTTCTTTCTCCCTTTTCTGCAGACCTTGAGGCTGTACTGGTCAATAAAGAAGTAAGAAAGAGGCCAGATGGGCCCCTACCACATGTGCCTATTGTACAGGATAGGAGAGTGCAGCATCCAGGGAAAATGTCTTAGCTGCTCCAGCTGCTGCTACTTTGGGGAATGTGAACAGCTTGAGAAGTGCCCACGCGGGAATGCACTTCTGTGACGCCTTCCTCCCATCCACACTTCCTCTTCTGTCCTCTCTGGCTCCTTTTCTGACAGCAGGGCAGCACCTCCATCCTGTGAGGCTCTGCTGCCAGCTCCAGCCATTAGCAGACCCAAGGGAGCAGATGGCTTTTCCCCTATCTGTAAGGTGTGGGCTGGAAGCGGGGGAAATGTGATACCAGCAGCAGCTAGAGGGTACAGAAGCAGTGGTTGTTGGCTCTCTTCATCTTGCAGTAGGAGAGAGGGGGAGAGAGCAGCAGCCTAGGTGGTTTAGGAAAATGCGCTTCCTCCAGACGTATGAGTCCAGGTGGGGCCCTGTGCAAACACAGCTAATCATGTCTTAGTGTCTCATTTTTACAGATCTACACTGTGCCATGTTGAACTTACTGTAAAAGGAAAGACACAACTGCTTCATGTGCTCTGCAAAGCTTTCTCTGTACCTACATTCCCTTTTACCTCTTCATGCAACATGACTTTAAGCTTCCTTTTAGCCCAGACGTTTATTACCACAGGCACTCCCAGAGTCTCTCTGGAGGTCTTAGACCACAGTTCTGCCTAGTACTATATCCATGATCCCTCTTCCCTTCTCTATGGTAAATTTGGCAGTGATGCTCAGCTTGGGTCTTTCCTCAGGCACCTTGTTTCAGAAGAGATCCCAAATCTAATACAGATTATTTCCCAGAGCCTCAGGTAAAGCCCTGCAGATCTGTCTCCATTAATCTCAAATGATGTGTGAGCTCAGAGACTATTGAGTGTATAAGAAACTGTTCTCTGACCTCTTGCTTAGCACTAAAATGAATGTGGTACCAATTCAACCAATTTTGTGCTCAGTTACACCAGTCCGGTAGCTTAAATTGACATCAGAGAAATCACTCACAGAGAAGTGGAGTTAAGAGCGAGGCTGTCTCTTCTGCAACCATTTAAAAAATGTTTTCCTAAGGAAATAAAATCTATGCATTTACACTCTCTTTCTGTTCTCTTTCTGCAAATTCTTCTCTTTCTCCAGTAACTTTTGAATCCTTTGTCCAATTTCAATGATAACTGACAGTGGGAGAGAGATAATTAAGTTTAATGACAACTGGTGTCTGGGTAGAAGAGCCTCAACTCAATGTCCCAGTTGAGGGAGGCCTTCAACGGTTCCTTGTTCAGTTTTGCCTACCAGCTGCCTCGTCAGCACACACATACTTTGGAGCCAGACACAGCAAATGCTGTCTCTTTTGCAGCTTGGTATTTACAGAATATGTGGCAGCAGGGCTAAGGAGGGGTCTAGAGGAATTGACGTAAGGCGAACTGAATACTGTGGACGCAAAGGAGACAGCATGGATAGGATTTGCCATGTGTGGGAAACAGTCCGTAGAGAACCAGACTATACTGCTTTTCACATGACATTTTTTTTTCATATAGTTTAATATGATTATTTCATACAGTTCAAACTATTTAAATCTGCCAGCAGTAAGCCTCACAAAGACTACAGGTGAAGAAAGGATTTAATCTGTTTCATGGCACTCATGAAAGCTATTACGTTACAAATCATTATCTCATATAATGTTTTACTAAGCATGGCTAAGAATAAAGATTCTGCTTTATGTTAGGGAAGCTGTATGACCCTGGTAGCTCCAAGGACCAGCTGTAACGGGGTACAGACAAGCACCTGCATACCAGAAGATGGGGCTAGCTGAACAGCAGATGTGAAGCATGTGTGGATGCTGCAGTACAGTACTACTGCTGAGTCTGCAGCAGACCAGTAAAGGCCTTCTCAAGTACCTGGAGAGGAACAAGGCTCATGCCTAATAGTCAACTGCAGTCAAATGGGTTCAAGCACAGTCAAGTGCAGAGATTTCACCTGCTTCCAGTGTCACTTCAGGTGAAATGGCCTATAGGAGAAGTTACACAAGCCATAGCAAAATCTCCCGGAAAAGAAATCTCTCTTTCAGATGACTCCTATTCTCTAGCAGTGCCTGGAGAGAGATAAGACATACTATTCTGCTGAATGCTTTGAAGGAAGAAGAAGAAGCTGGTGTAATGCAGTCAGACACAACATTTTCCTGTGTACTGGTCTGTAGGCTTGCATTAAAGAAAGATATGCATGCTTTGCCTTTTGCTTTAGCAGAGAGTCTGTTTTACAGACAAAGCTCCGCTGGCTTTTTATTTCCTTGAATGGAGAATCTGGAACAAGAGGCAATCAGATCTCAGAGTTGCTGCTCATAGCCAGGTGCAGCTGTGATGGCCACAGTAAGCCTGCCACTGCAAATGAAGTGCGTGCAGCATAAGGCAGTGCTAATGAAGTATGGAGGGGATAAGATCCTTTTACTTCCACAGTAAGTATGCCCCTGAAGACACTGTCTCTTGGTTAGCTGAGACAAATACTGGCAATACATTTGATATTTGTGTTCTAAGATGCAGAATCATACTCTCTTCTCTGTCGAACAGATTAGAAACTCCCACCCTCCAAAGACACTTTATATTGGTACTTCTAAACATACTATTTTGTACAGTCATTGAGCACATGGGATGGGACATGTGTTAAAGGCCCCAGACTGTGAGATATGCCAAAGGTACCAGTTTGCTAATGGTACAGGGGAGAAACAGAAGCAGAATGGCATAGACTTACTTGTCTTTCTGCAGAATCACAAATGGTACTCAAATACAGTTCCTGCCTTAAAAACTAACAAATTACTCAGCTGACTGGAACAAATGAAGAGAATCATTGTCAGCCAAATGTCTGCATTCAAGGAAGTGTAAAATCGCTATGATAAAGTTATGTCTTCGACAGTATAGAATTCATTGGATTGATACTTTGATTCTTTGCTTGCTTGAAGTTTTACACAGAGGTGGTTCAAAATGATCTCAGTAAAAGAAATGTGTTTATAGACTTGGTTGTGGTACTATGAACATCTAAGTGCCATTTTGAAACTGCTGATATTCAGTAAAACTATTTTAAGTTTTCCAAATAGGAAACTTTCCAGCAATGTCAGAACAGTAGTTAGCAATTGATTTTCTTTTGGCAGTTTGCCGTGTGGTCAAAGTGACAGACACCAGAACTCTTTAACACATTTAATGGGATTTTCCTTCCATTTACACTATCATAAATTACAAAGCATATTTCACTTCACAAAATAAAACCATTTCCAGATCATTTTTATGACAGTATTAAGTAGTACATAACCTACAACAAATAGTCCTGTACAATTCAGGAGGATCTATAGAAGTATTCGGTACTCAGACTATTTAGCATTTGCTCTGCAATCTGGGTTAATCTATCTAGCCCTTAGTTATTTCTCTAGAAGACAACAAATTTACAGTAATACCCTCCACCTCCCTTCATTATCATAGTTACACATATTTTTCAATTTGAATAGAAACAAGTGCTCCCTGAAATAATTCAGGAAACTGCATCACTGAGTTACCAAGCATATGATTCAAACGATCAAGATGAGGGATTATTATATTTTTTTGTATTGAAAATTGAGTTTGGTAGTAAAGTATGCTGATTTGCTATGCTTGCAGAAACATCTCATGCTGAGAAAAAGTTTTAACATTAGGAATAAGTTGCAGTTAGACTATGAACTCTGTAGGTCAATGTTTATGAGGGCAGAAACATATTAAAATTTGGTAATAATTAAATTTACCAACTCCCACATTTCTTACACATTCTTGTTTTTTTAAAACAAACCATCAGGAAACACATTCAAGAGAAATACCTACATTTTCAGCAGATTTACTGTACGTTTATAAATACAGAAACATGACAAAACATAGCTTGATTTTTACAGAAAAACCAAATCCTTCATAATTAATCCAAAAAAGTGCTAACTTTTCAGCAAGGCCAGAAAATATCCAGTGTCCCAGCATCACTTAACTTACGTATTACTGTAATCCAAGAAAAATCTGGCATGTGAAACTGATTACTACCACCAGGACTTTCGAAATTTCTCAATACCACATTTTACATGGGAGTAAAAAAAAGAAAAACAAGAGAAAACGCTACACGTTTTTGGAAAGACTAAATGGATAAAAGTGTACTATACAATCTTAGAATGCCTGTGCCTAAAATATAAAGAAAGAAACTTAAAGAAAGTTGGAATACACATAAGAAAAGAATTCTCCTTTAAAACATTTGCAATGAAAGAGGTATGTCAGGATAATACTGCATTAGTGGTAATTGTTTTCAATATATCATAGCAAAAATGCAGGAGAGAATTATGTGGAAAATAATCAATGCACCGCATTGATTTCTAGCTTGCTAAAATAAAATGCCATTCTTCAGGTAAAGTAAAAATATCTTTATAATATAGGTTCTGTTTCACAATTGACATATATAATTATGTCTTATGGAGAGGGAAAATGTATAGCTGTATACAAGTAATACTGATTAAGTACCTTTTTGCTTCTCTAGCCGTATTAAAATATGTTTTGTGTTTCTTAATAAGTTAACAATAAAATTGTTTGCAACTTCTCAAAACAAATATACATCTGCGACAAGGCAAAAGATACAAGGTAAGAGGATTTTTTCTGACCTTTTTTTCCCTTCTAGAAAGAGGCATATGTCTATGAGACATAGGCTTTCCCTAAGCATTTTGGCATCTATCTGCAACTTTGCAGAAATTGAAGTGCAGCCAAGGAACTTTTCCTTTATTTTTTAAAAATTGTAAAGAAATGTATTTTTCCTTCAAACTAATTATTTCAAAATAAATGGCTATGAAGATATGTCTCTATCAGTCTAAAAGAGAACATCTTCATTTTCTATTAAAATTTGCACAATTAACTTCTGGTACCGCATGTCATTCAGAGTAGCAAGGGTACTGTCCTCTGGAGGTCTCATTAAAGTAGGCCCAAACACTATTCCCAGGTTTTCAGCATTCATGAAATTCTCCTTTTCATGCAAAGTGACCCTAAAATAGAAAAAAAAAAAGTATGTAGGGTTTAGTTGGTTTACTTACCAGAAGAAAAGAACACATTGTATCTTTATTCTGTGACCCTGCTTCATAACAAATACTAGATAATGGCATTTTTCAGTTACAGTTTTTACTTACACTCAATATTAGTAACTATTTCCACAGCAAGTACAACGCAGTTATGGTGGGGCTGCGTATTCCAGTACCTTTAAACACCCCTCCTGAAGCTCTTAAGTGATTTGGCCATGTGGCTAACATTTAAGGTATAAGAATTAGAGGCAATCGCTTTTGTGAAGAGCATAATCACCCTTTAAATTATGATGGACTGCCCTGCAGTAATCCAGTTCTGTGGCATGCTGGACTCAAGTATGCATCACACTGGAGGTATGCAAGGGCTTCCTAAATATGAACCCATAATTTCTTTTGACTACCCATGACCCCCATGCTCCCAGACAAGGAAAATCAGCCTTCAGGGAACCTGTATATGGATTTTGGATTTGCTGGCTATCTTGGCTAACTGACAGCTGAGTTATTCTGGCTACTCCTATACTTTAGGAGCAGGCTGAAGCCTGGAGCAATCTGGAAACTCAGTTTGCTGCATGAGTTTTTTTCTCTGTGGGCAGCCTGCGTCCAGCTAGAAGTCGGACTGCTACAAATGCCATCTAGCCTTGACAGAGAATAGAGGTACTTCTAGGAAGGAGCCCAGGCTGTTTTTTCCCTGACACAGGTCTTGTAATGTAAATATAAGGACAGATGGGCTACCAGGCTGCAGCAAACATAGACAGCCAGGGATTGTCCATGCTGCAGAAAAGTGGGCCCTAAGGCCTACAAGAAAATGCAAGGTGTGCTCAAGGTTTTTGTCTAAAGAGTACAGCTGGATCACATCATTGTTATCCCAGCAGTCCTTTGGCATTTGAGTTCAGTCTTAAGAGTGTTTTTGCACTGCAGTATGGAGACACAGCCACAATCACTTAGTGGGTCATGGTCCCCCACGGGCCAGACACTTGCTGTTACTAAGTAGAGCACAGGCCAAGTTTGACATCTCCTCCCAGCACAGCTCCTCTGCCAGGGCAGAGCACACCTGGTATTGGAGCCAGCTCTCCTGGCAATAGCTGAGATTGCCTCTGGCCATAGCAATTCTCAACTGGATAGCAGTAGGCAGCGGATTTCCTCATGCCATCAGGAGAACACAAACAGACTGAACCTGGATGAGGTAATCTGGTCTTCCTGTGTTTGCAAGATCCAAATAAGACTAGATTTTGCCTCTACCGTTCTCTCTCTTCAAAGAGTGGCTCTGTTCTAGGAGAAGCACAGAAAAATGCAGTTCTTCCTTGCTTTCAGGACAGAAATCTGCTAGTGCCACACCTCACCATTTTCCAGCACATACCTGCTAGCTGGTGCTTTGCAGGGACAAAAGGCAAATCTAGGGCCTGGCCCCTGCTGCTACTGTGCAAGTAGATGAATAACTTCTCTGCTTTCCTTGAGTGTCTATGTGCTGCAGAGATGCAGCTATGCAATGACACGTGTCTTACTAGCGTGTACTTCACCACATCAGAGACTGCTTTTTCTATTGTTTTTCCTCCAATTTTGAGAAAAAAGTTGTCAGAAAGAACATTCCTATTTGACTGAAGAAAACTGCTCTGCAAGTTAAACAGCAAACAATTAATTAATTGACTGACAAGCGCATTTTTCATTGTTGGTACTATCTTCTGCCAGATTTTCTTGACTAGGCTAGGCTATTCTTTCAATAGAGGAGGAAGAAGGGCAATAAACAGATTGAGGAAAGGAAGTTCTAATGTTTCAAAAACAATACAAAACTTATTGTTCTTTGATTGAGCTGGATTTAGTGTCCTTCTGCCTGATAAAGAAATATGAAGTGCATATAACAAGAACTCGACGCAATTTCTTTTCTGTTGAAACACAGTACCAGTGTAGGGGCTGTGATCCTGCATCAGTGCGTGTTTCATTTGTGCAGGATCTGTGGGGTTGGAGCTGGGAGCTGGGACTTGTTTAAATTACAGAACAGCATGTTCTCATCTTAAAGGAACTTTCCCTCTCTCATTCAGATCACTCTGACAGAGTATCTGTAGGAACTGACAGGCACTTGATTTCAGCGCAGATGCCCAAAGCTATAATTTGGAAAAGGAAAGGAAGTCCATTGCTTGAATTGCAGGTGTCTGAGATAGAAAGATTAATCAGCTGTTTGGATTTGGTTTTGTCTCATCAGGAGTTCAGCGCAACAGCTGACCTGCCTGTACTGCAGTTCATGAAAAAGAAAGAAGGCAAGTAAATTCTTAGCTTTAGAAGTCTGCTCTCAGGACATGAAAGTACTGATCCTGTATGTGGGTCCCTGGCTCATCCCAAGTCGGCACAGGCCCTCCTAAAAGCTGATGTGGTACATCTTGAATCGTCCAGGAATATGTGCTGAAAGGGGTGGGTGCTTTTACATCTCATTTCTGCAGAGTCCACAGAAGCTCCTGCATGCCCAGGTAATATCTCATTAAAAGAAAAAAATTACTCAGCGTAATGACCTGAGCCAATTCAAAATGAGGAAAAGTCTCTGCATAATGAGAACCTGATTAAGCATGAAATGCATTTCACAGAAGCTCTCTGATGCAATTTTATGTGAGTCGAATTCTTTTTTTGTTTTTAGGTCAGTATTAAAAATGAAGATCGGTTTCAAAAACAGAAAATTCCCCATTTGCAGCCAAGTAGTTACAAGTAGTGGTACAGCTAAGAAGAGCAATCATAGATTTGCTGTGACAAAGCAAATCTAAAAGCAAAGCTTTGTTTCTCCCTTACCTCCTTTTTTGTTGTTTCCAAATATCCCATAAACTTTAGTGAGAAAAAAGGCACATATCTCAATATATTCTTAAATGAAGAGCTGCTTTAAAATGACAGCGTCAGTCTTTAATCAGCTTCAATATTCAAAAACTTAACAAGCAAGACTTTATGAGGTATCTAGGTGCCCAAAGCGGTGTTAGCCTGACTTTGGAAACCATTTTAGCTTGAAATTAGTGGGTGAGCATCTTATCCCTCTTTGGTGCACTTCATAATTGTTCTTGGTACCTAGCTAAAAGCTTTGACAATAGGGCACTAAGTCCCCAAGTCACTTTCAAAATGGAATTTAAGCACTTCTGAAAATTTTACATTCCTTTTAACTAAGGAAGTTTTGGAAAGTGAATAAGGCAGAGTGTGTTTAAAACCAAAGGAAATATGAAATAACTGTTAAGTGCCTGTATAGCTTTTTACTAGTAGTGTAAAAATAGGCCCTGCTTGATTCTTGGCTTAGCTATGATGTGAGCAAACAACTAGTAAGAGGCAGTTCTTTCCTTTTAGGGTTATAGTTCAAGAGGACAAATCAGGAGGTAAGGGGAGTCAGAAGCAAAGCATGATCAAATGACTTGCCACAGCACATCTAACACACCTCTGAAGTAACTATCAATCTGGTATTTTTCAGAGATTACCTACCTCAGAGAGATGTGACAAATCTGAATTAACTCTTCAAAGGCTTGCAATGACTTACGACAGAAGGAGATATGCTGTATACGTGCATAGCTTATATGCATTTGCACAAACACAGCTTATCTGTTTATTTGTAACATAACTGTTTTACTGGCAGTGCCCTAATGGAGGCTTTATTGGTACTTTCTGCAATATCTCTCTTTCAAAGCAGAAAATTCATCAGCTCTCCAAGAATTATCCTGCATGCCAATTAACTCACTTTTTGAGATGAATCATTAGGTATCTAAGTGTCTCGTAGTGAGCAGCAGGGAGTAACATCAACACTTCATGGATTGCTTCTAGTCGTTCATCAGGATTGGAGATTTCTATAAAATAACAAACAATTAATGTTAATACGAATTTACATTTGTAAACAGGCAATAATTCAGGAAGCTAAGTTGTTATTATGAAGTCATTTACAAGCCATTAGACTGTGCTTGTAGGGCTAAATATTAAACTCATAAATAGAGAGCTTATCAGCAACCTTTGCATCCTCAAAAAAATGGTCTTACAAAGAAATCAGCAACAAAGACTACCCAGTAGTTGTCTACATGGTCTGCATATCTATCTACAGGTCTGTATATCTACAGGACCTGAGTTTCATAACTGCTTCATAATACTCTGTCTGAACTGGCTCTCTAAAATCTTACATAAGATTACCTACCATAGCCTTCAAAAAGAGATGGCGGTGTGGGTATATGCTTCAGAGACTCTGCTTGAATATACTGAGCTATATTAAAGTTTTACTAGAGACACTGAAATGATGTAACATTACATAAGCAAAGAAAGATGCCTGGACATATTTAAATATGCAGGTATTAGTGATCTGGGAGCATCAATGCTCATTTAAGACTGTTTGACAATCTCTCTGAAAACCTGAGCAGGATTTACAAGTATTTTACATGAAAAGTATAGATTCCTAGGCTGTGAACTGAGTCAGAGTTGTTTCTGACGCATGACCTTTCATAAAAAAGGCACCAAGTGTCTGAATTAGAGGATTAAATATCTTTATGTTCTGCTTTTAAAAGATTGGTAGATTGACATGATAGGAATTGCGTCCTCTAAGCATGTTATTTATAAGACTAGTGACAAGCAAGAACAATTTCTCTGCCACAAGAGGAACACAGGAGTGCAAGATGGGGTAAGCTAGAAGGGAAGGCGAGCCAGCATAGTCACACACAACGCTGCTGCTGTTGCTTGTCCATGTGCTGTGTGCCATTTCAAAAGCTCTAAGGACACGTTTTAAGGAAGAAAGCATGCTACTTCTTAGACATCTCAGATCTTTGAAGTCTTTGCTGATAATCTCATTTTGACGCAATTCCATCTGGTGAGTTTTCATTAGTGACTATCATTAGATGGAAAGCTATGCCCTGGAGAGCAGAATTTGAGGTAAATCTCATCTGTCTCTCTCTGCCAACATCACATTAGAACCAAAGCAATGAATGCTGCTGCCCTCTTCCCTCCCTGACAGCATGCACCCATCACCTGCTGGCTTTATGGGGGAGTCAGTGCATGCTGCTTCCTATCTGAACATGGGTTAGATGCTGTAGGATCTAGTGAACCTGAACCGTGGGGTAGGCGTGCTTCGTGGGGTGCCTCATTGCCCTGATCCTTGCCTGACTGAAGATGGGGACCTTGCTGGAGAACACTGCAGGTCTGGTGCCCAGGCTATGGGGGATGGAGGGAACGGTGCACACTGCTGAGGAAATGGGAAGCACCCGCAAGGCCCAAGTTCTGACAGAGCTCACTGATTATGCAGGCTCATACGCCTCTGACAGCCAGTGCTGCGATGGTCACGGGGCCCCAGCATCCTCCCGGTGCCACATTCAGTCCTTGCAATGGCATTAGATGTTCTGCCTCTTTGTGCAGAATTTGGGTAGTTTAGAACCAAAGAGCAAACACTTACGTTTAAAGACCCACCCCAGGGCAAGGTGTAGCTTCACTGACTGATATTGAAACCACACTTTCTGAAACTACTGAGTTATTTTTACACTAAATATTTATTTGTATCTTTTTATCTATAGGTTGCCCCTGCTGCATCAACAGGCAGGCAAGTTCCCTGTGAGAGAAGCACATGGCAGAGAACTAATGAACAGAACAGTGTCCTTGTTTCCAGTTTATTGGCTTGTTCTTTAATGTAAACACCTTTATAGATGGGAAATATAATTAAAGAACAGTATAAATTGCTACGTAACACTTACTTGCTGCCTCTATGAACTTGGAATAGGTGTCATAGGTAATCACAGGAATCGGTAAGTCTCTGAAGTATAGCTTCAGTGCTCCAGCAATAATGTTTATATCTGGATAGATACTGGCAGAAATATCAGCCTTGTCACCATCTAGAAGAGGAGAAAGAAATCTTTTTGAAAACAGTCTAATTCTGACTGATGCAAAGCTAGGCTTCTAATTCAGATTTGCTGTGTCCAGTCTGACAAGAAAAAACAACCCAAAAGCATTCAGAAAGCTTAAGTCAGAATATATTGCTGAAAACTCTTCGGTATAGGAACGAGGAATGGTAATTTCCTTATCATTTAGTAAATAATTTATTTGTTCACGTCTTTTGGATAAGCTGGTGATTACATCAGCAATATCTGCAGTGCGCCATCTCACATGTGATGAATTAGTGTTGAATGAAAAAGTCATGTTGAATAATACATTTGTTGAATTTGGCCCATTTATTAGATGTAGAAAATGAATAAACTATTAATACCTTGCTTTGATGTTGTATTTTTCATCCACAGATGTCACCATGCAAAGGATATGAATCACTGTTTTCATTTTGATTTGGGAAAGAGAGGCAAATGACATTATTTTCCAACATCCCTCAGGAGAGCAGCAGCAAAACTCAGAGTAGACACCAGCTCTTTTCAGTCCTGTACCAATCTATTCATGCTGATTAGTCCTAAAGCCTTATTATTATTTGGATGTTCCTCTCATGTCTTCCTATTTTAATTATCTGTTTATAGTAAAGATTTGAATTTAAACAGAAGTGCTACGGCATTTAGCAACACAAATTATTCTGAAATGTGGATCACAATTTCAGTTAAATGAATATGGAGAGTTGCAATGGTTGAACGGCTAAATGAATTATGCAACTAAAATGACATATATTTTGTTTGCCGTATATTGTAATACAGTAAGTCAAAACTCCTTTACAGAGCATTTTTAATCACATGAGTCTGAAATTTACAGTTGATGCTAATAAGCCCCTGGCTTGCCAAAAGTGAAATTACAAGAACTACCAGCAAGACTGAATCGAATTGATTTTTCATGTCCGGATGACTCTTTCTATTCTATTCTACCTCGTACCTTGATACCTGCATTTTTTTTTCCCCAGTTTGAGAAATTCTGAGGTCCTCTCCCCTCCAAGGAAGTGTGCCTACTCCCCTCTCTGGGCCTGCCCCTCTACAATCTGCCATTAGAAAGACAAGATAGCGCACTGGTCAAGTAGGGACTGAGGCTGTCTGGGTTTAATTCCTGGCTTTTCCTCAGACTTCTTTGAGATCAGTTATACTCTTTAGCTCCTATTCCCCACTGGTAAAGTGAAGATCACAGAAGTCCCCCCCATGGGAGGCAGTGAAGATAAAGACATAAAAAGCTTAGGACAATATGATAATTGGGTCACACAGGGTCAGGTTTGCTAGAGCAATGGAAATGAGTTTGCTTGTATGTGCCAGGAGGTACAAGCATGAACTTGGCCTGCTACCCCTGAGGTGCTGACATGCTGTAAATCCACCACCTTGCTTGTCTCACAATAACTCGTGCTTGTAGACATGCCCTGATATAGACAGATGAGTGGGTGTGCTTGATGCACTGCTTCTAAGATGGTGATAAAGGCTTTCACAGCAGAGTAAAACAGTTTATATTGATTGTAGACATTTTATACAAACCTATGGCATTAATCTTGAAGGGATATGTCCTGTCCAATGTATGCACATAATTCTCATTAAGACTAATAGCGCTACATGTTCTCATCAAGAGGAGATTATGTGCTTAAGTGTTTAAAACAAGCAGCCTTTCTTGATGCAGCTGAGCAGTTTGAATACCTCCATCAGCATTTAATTTAATACAGCATCAATAACCCCTAGGAGAATGTTTACACTGCCCCGATCTTTTGTTTAATCCACACGTTCCAGGCATGGTAGCATTAGAGTTACAAAGCGTTGTGCAGAGAGCTCTATTTAATTGATGGACACTGAGCACTCAAAATGCTCCACTGAAAATAGATACCTTCAAGGAGACAGTAGCTGCATCAGAACAGATATAGTAAAGGAGAAGGTCGCATCTATTATCCAGGTCACCAGTACACTAAATGGAAGTGTCATTTATTTAGTACTTTTACAAAGCAGCACAGCACGCTTCCTTAAAGGGGCACTTCAGCTACAGGAAATGTACTTCAGACATACCTCTTATTTATCTCTTTGCTTACTACAGGAAAAATGCATTAATTCCTGAGTCAAAGATTTTTCTCTTCACTTCACAGACGAATATAGATCCACTGGAAACACACGGACAATTTTTTTACAGTGAGCATAACAATATGTCCGTTACAGTATTTCTATATTTCTGCAGCAGCTATGTGGGGGAAGGTGCGTTTTTCTTTTTCTCTGGCAGATTTTGGACTGTCTTTTTTTCTTTGAATTTCAGCCACTGAAGGCCCTTTGGTAGACTGCACACTTATTTTTTGTCTTCCCCAAATTCCTGGATTTGTATTTTGTTCAAAGACATCTCAAATTCAGAGTACTAAGAAGGAAAAGTTAATTCATTGCAGGTAAAGTCATGATGTACTTTACATCTGCACTAACATATTGTATGAACTACATATATTTTATATGGTATTGCCCTAACTGTCTTTTAACTCTTCAGTACAAAAACCTTCCACAGACTGTATTTAGCACTTTCAATATTATTGCAGTGGCTACATGTTAATGCAATCTTTCTTACACTGGGTTACAAACATTTAGTTTGTTTAAGCTTTATAAACTTAATTCTCCCCCAAACCTGTCATTCCTCTTTCCTTGTTGCTGTGACTCTCTCAACATATTTTGTTGTGTTATGTTGAAGTATGGACCTCTCAAGCCCAGGAAAGTCTTTCTTCTGCTCTGTAAAAGTTTCAGTGGACTTTGGAAGCCACATAAATAGATAAAGAGTTTATTAGAGAAGGAAATGGAATAAGGATTGCCTTCTTAAAACCTAAGCTATGCCCTTTGAATACTGAATTACAGTTGCACTTAAGTTACTTGTTCCTTAATGCTCTATTCTTATTGCACAACTTTCCTCAAGCTAATGTGCTTCTTTGTAGTTTTTCTTGGATTTGGAATTGAACAAGTTTTCAGGTACACCAGCCCAAGAGTGTGAGAATGGGTTTGGATGCCTCTAAGTATTTGTATGTAATATTTAATTGCGCAATATTTCTAGCAAGTGTATTGTACCAGCCAGTCATCCCAACAACAAGGGAAAGGACAGAAGGCATTTATCACAATGGCAGCCCTGTGGATAACCTGCACAATAAGTGTTTTATTGCTGTCAGAAGGCCACAGCTCAACAATGCTCACAAAGAGCAACTGTTGTTCTACAGCACCAACATTCACAAGATTAAATAAATCCACATTATTCCTCCCATTCTCATTATAAAAAAATCACTAAAATGGAACATTGTCAATGTGTCAGAGAGCCTAACTCTCATTTACAGTAGGGTCATTTATACCACGTTGGCTTTGGAAGGGAGCCTTGGTTTAAACAAGATGAGGGCCAACTTCTCCCAGTTTTAAAAGTAATTATCACAGCTTTACTGGACCAAAATAATTATACTGTATGATACCATTCTCTTCCTGAGTTGTTAACTTTCAAACCTGTGTGCTTTTCTGTTCTCATTATAATTCCTTGGAAGGCACAAGTGAGTGTCCCTGTGACACAGCCAGGACAATTAGTCCCGGGGTGGGTTGACTTCTGTTCATTGTCCCTCTTCAGCTGCAAATGAAATCAGCCGAAGGGGTACTGCCGGCCGGCAGCCCCGTGCGCCTGTTCTGTGCCTTACGCTGGCTCTGTCTCCCAGGGCTTGATGAAGAGGTTGTGAAACTGGAAAGCCTTCCAGCATTACTTGAAGTGTGTCCTGCGTATTAAAAAGGAGGGACTCCTTGCTTGTTTATTTTCAAAACCATTTATTAAGAGCTGTATTTTCCAGAGATGTGAAAACATACTAGCATTGTAGCCAGGTACATGGGGACTGACTTAGAAGCAAAACCAGCGAGGGCCCTCTGCAATCGCAGGGTGCAGTACTCCACCACTGCAGGCCCCACACCGTTTAATCCTCTTCATAAACCGCTCAACCTCCGTTTTAAAACTAGCTTTTTTTCCTTACTGTTTTTTTTTAATCCCTACTCCTATTAGAAGGTTGTTTCAGAATGCTGTTGTTCAGACAGCTAGAAAATGGTCTTTAAATTGGCAAACTAAATTTATTTGTGGCCAGTGTATATCCACTGCTGTTGTGCTAAGATTATCCGTTAGATTAAACAGTTCCCTTCTCTGGGTCCGTACCCCAGCTCTCCACCTGTGCTTTGACAGCTAAATATTCCAAGCTCTTTTAAAACACATTTACCTTCTGCTATACAGCATGCTCCAGAGATGTCTGAGCTAGCGGCAGGACCACAGATAAGGCTGTTTCTGTTGCAAGACCTATCTGTCCGATGGAATTTTCCATTTCATATTTCAGGCACAATCTTTTTCTTCAGAAAATTTTCATTTTTGCCAAACATATGTTAATTTCCTGTAGTGAATGTAGAAACAACAGGTATGGAAAACTCTTCACGAACTTCACTTTCTGGGCAGAGAACGAGACTTGAACAAAAGCTCTGCAGGCTTTGCTGGAAGGGCGATGGTCACAGCCTGCTGCCTTGCTCCCAGCTCTGCTGCCGAGGCTGGAGCTCCGGGCTACTCCCTGTCCTTGGGACCTTGCCTTCCTCGCGCCTGCGGCTCCGGGGGCGAAGCAGGGGTAACCGGCCCACAGTGGAGGGAGCTTCCCACCTGCGGGGCTGGCGAGCAGAAGGGAGTCTGGGGTCTCTGCCTTGCAAACCGGGATCCGGCAGCCGAGCAAGCCCTGAGCTGTCCGACTGGAAGCGTCCTGCCAATTTACCGTTCTGCCAGCTGACAACAACCTCCTCGCTGTGTGGCCCACAAGTCAGGAAAAAAAAAAATCCATTTTGGTTCTCTTTAAATCCCTTCCTGCAAAAGATATCCTTCTGCATTTTCCAGCTCAATAACGTGGAGAAAACGTTTTCAAAACTGGAAAGCGAAGTTCTCAGCTTTTGGGCTTAGCAATAGTCCAGTCCCGCTTTCTTAGAACAGGTTCCCATTCACTCTTCCAGGGCTTTTAGAATTATTAACGGCAACAGTTTTTCTTTCCTTTCATGTCCCTTTGCCCTCATGAGATTGATAAAAGAAAACGAAGATACAGCTTTTTATTAATTTATGCCCAGTAATAAACTTATGTCCACAGCTAGTGTATACCTGCGTGTACAAACTCCGTTCTTCCTTTCTCTGCTCCCATGTTTATCCGTACCTTTTTCCTTTGGAAATCCAGTATTGCCAGTGACTTTACTCTTCCTGTTACAAGATAGTGCTTTCTTTGCCAGTAAATTACACTTTCTTCCTGGCTGTGCATCTCATTCAAGCGTTTGTTGCCATCAGCTCAATGACATGAGCGCAAGCAGTAATGACAGAATATTCTGCATACAAAGCTAAACCGGCTCCAGGGCTCAGAAGCATTCACAAAGCAGCTATAACTGCGAGAGTATTCAAGCCACGTGCTCAGTTACAAATTTCCAGCCGCTTTCTCCAAACTCTTTCCTCTTCAGTCCGTGTGCCTGCTTCTCCCTTTCACGCAGGTTCGTACACTCGGCAGGGGAGAGAATTAACCCCCACTGCAAAAGGGTTTGTCCGCCCAGATCTACCTGGAGGGAGCAGAGTGGGACCTATGGGGACTACGCGATCCTCTCCGTGGCACTGCTTGATGTGCTACATGTACAGTAAATACCATCCTAGGAGAGCAGCCATATCCTTTTGCTGTGTGTGTCTGAACTGAACTGTGTGTGTCTATGTGTATGCTCACAACTGCAGCATCCAACATATATTTTAAAATATGCAGATTTTCCAAAGGTTGTTTCATTATTGGATGAAAACAGTCTCTTGAGGAATTCCTACTTATATAGTTGGACCTTCTTTGCCAAGGAGAGCTGCATGGCACACTGTCTCCAAAAAAGAATTATTCAGGCACCACAAGTGTAATATGTGTTAGGGCCCCGAGGGCCCCACAGACCTTTCTGCCCTGCCCACCCCCAGCCCCAGTCCCCATTTCAGCCCAGCCCGGGGCCGTCACTCGCTGCCCTGCGACACCACAGTGGTGCCAGGCTCTGGCCCCACCACGCCCCCCCTCAACCCCAACCCACATATATATAATGATATAATCTTTTTCCTAACACGGCAGATGTAATGCTTGAAAAAATGAAGGAGGAGGGAAGACACTATTCATGGGAAAAGAGACGAATATTGACATATCTTCTTAAATGTTGCACCTGAACATGTGTTACCTGTTCATGAAGGCCCTGCTCTGCAGCACTTACTTACATATATACTTAAAATTAATCCTGCATGCAAAGACTGCTCGCATGACCAAAACTAAGGTAATCAGCCAAATCAATTCAGAAGGGCTACCAGTATGGTAATTATGACTAAACGGTGATGTTTTAATTATTACAGTTTTTCAATATGCTGTGCAGCTGATCCCCCTAAGGCTCCTCTGGTCTCTTGTGCAGACATGGAAATGGCCATTGGGTGTGCAGTGCTGTGATCAAGGCCACATGCGGACTGAGTCCCAGACTGGATTTGCCGGCTCTTAAACTTATAAACAGATCATCATATTATAAAACATTAAGTCTGCTAAAACAAGCCTAAGAACTTCTCCTCGGTCCTATCTAGGCTCATACTTGAAGTAGGGACCTGGACTGTGTTGCTGGGTTGAGCAATCACCCAGTCACCTGAGCGCTTAGCTTTTCTTTCTACCTTTAGTTATTGAGTATTTAATCACTCCTTCTAACTATGAAATACACTTTTCTTCTTATGAAAAGTACTGCAGATTTATTCAAAAAATCAGAAAAGACAGGCTGCTTTCTGTATATCTGCTTATATGCCAGCTGCATTATCATGGTACCTAATACAAACATGAAAATAACTGAAAAGTCCTAGAACTGAAAGCTTTGATAAAAAATTGTAAAAATTGAAAAATGTTATACCTCGATCAAAGGCCATTTTCACATCTTCAATGTGCTCAGTGAAGCCTGAAACTCTGTAGAGGCCCTCAGACTTCAAACCTGAAACAGAAAATTATTGGTTATCATCATCTTTGTTTTAACAACCAAAAATATTCAGGGTTAAAAACAACAAAGCTAAAATAAATGTAGGTCTAATAAGTGTAGCAAAATTATTAATGGCAATGTCAAACTTTAGAACATTTGAGGAAGAATCAAGGTAATTTCAAATTGTTTTTTAAAAGATTAAGGGATTTTAAAATTTATATTTTCTGATTTTGTTAGGAACATAATAGATAATATTAGAAGATAATAACGCAATTTGCTAATGCTGGGGCAGGTAGCATTATCATGAATTATTCATTTTATCTGGGAGATTTTTCTGGATTTACCTACAATTAGTAAAGCTTTAAAGGTCTTCTTCCATGTACCAGTTGCTTAATGATAAATAGCAATGCAAATAAGTGACTGCCTTCCCATGTGATCACATTTGTTCCCAGTTTTGCTGTCAACCTTTAGTTACGCACAAGTGACGCATGTGATGGAGGCTGTTCTCCTCCGCGTCAGTACATCCCTTTCACTGCTCTTGCACCACTAGAGACCTGCTCACCTGCCCAACACTCCCACCTTTTTTCCATGCCCACATGAAAGGGACACCAGCAGAGTAGGCAGCTCGCTGAGCACGGTTAGGCAGATGTTATTTGTTTTAATCCCAGAGCTCCTTATTGTGACCATGGACCGTGCTAACTTACATCCAACACACTTCATTTTCTTAAGAACAAAATCAGCATTTTAAAAGAAATGAATAGCTCTACAGCAATTAAAGAAATTGAGAGATGTTGAAAAGACAGACAGCAGGCAGATTTCTCTTAATCAATAAATGCACAAGTAAGTATGTTCATCTCAAAAGCAGCACAGCTTCCTGCTGTTTCATCTGACTCAGTAAAGCTCTTCTGTCTCAGACCCACCTATTTTTTCCATTTGTCCCTGCAGTGACGATATAATCCTGGCAGAGATTTACGGAGCAGAGTAGGGGATTTAACTGTAAATCTTTGATTCATTTCAGTAGATGTGTGGCTTTGAAATCCCTATGCCTAGTATCAATGTGTTGCCATGCAGATTACGGTGATGCCATGAATTCAGCATTGTGAGATGTCTGGGCTAAAGCTATGGCTAACTGGGAAATTTGGCCTATTGGGTGGCATGACATGCACATTTGCTACCAAAAGCAAAAATACATGATCTGATTGTTTTGTTGCAGGGGATATGGTATTTCTTCAGTCTGGCATGCCTCTCTGCGTAGCAAAACCTGTCACCGGCTGGAGTTTTGGCTGAGACACGCTGCCTGAGCCACGGCACCCATCAGTCAATAGCACAGTGTCATGTGAACGTTGCTGCCCTGAGCAGCTTGCAACGTATTGTAAAATGCCACAGTCTGTGACCTCATTTGGCTCAGTAATTTCCATTCACTTGTGGTCTCTTTCCCATGATATCCTGAAAGGTTATTAATAACAGGTTTGATTTAAACTGATTACTCTGAAATTAGAAGTGTCCCTAGGTATGCTAAAAGAAAATAAAAGTAATGAAAAAAGACACATAAACATGAACTTAAAGTTCACTTTAAAGTTCACCCCTTTCGAAAGTGTAACATAATACATGTTTTGACATGTTTTTCAAGAAGCATTTCAGTAAATTGCATTATGAAATGTCACGATTTAATTTTACTAGCCGATGCAAAGCAACGTATCACCTCCACTAAAAAAAACCTTCTCTCATCCTGTCTTCAGTGTACATGAACGTACTATTTTGTCCTACCTTAGCATGGAATTCAACCCATTTTTATATTAGTCTGTCTGCTGCTTTTCAAAGCATATCACACTGCTCTAGCCAAATGACAGCTTCAAACTCTTACAAACCTCTTGCTTCAATCTCTCGGATGCATGAATCCACAACCATCGGCCTCTGGGTGTTGTGGGCTTTCACTAGTGTGGTCAGATCACAACAGTACACTCGCTTTATCCTCTTGAGGTCTGGCTGACAGTCGTTGGGCACGTATTTGGAGCACTGCTTGTGTACGTTCAACCCACAGTCTGCAAGCAAAGTTTGCCAGGTTAATTAATTAATACTAATGCTGACAGTTTTTCTTCTATCCATTTATTTCTTTAGTCCACACCAAGCAAAAGGCATAACTTTCCCATCACTCAGCAAAGCTAGAATAAATGAGATGTTTCATGTCGCTCTCTAGTGACTTTGCTGGCCTCTCAACGTATAAGACTGGTGGGATTTAGTGACATTCAGTTCACTGTGCTGCTTGAATTACTGAAGAGGAGAAAGACAAGAACAAAAATGTCCTGTAAAAATGTTATGGGCAAAGTGAACTCGAGCTTAATTGTTTAAAAAACTATACAAACTGTAAATGTACTTCCTCCACCTCTGACCTGATGGCTATGGCACAGCTGCAGATGCCTGGGTCAGCTCACGGTCGGACGCTCAGCTTCAGGAGTTGCATTTGAAAACGTGAGACTTAACTTCTGGGCATTTTAGTTTAGCTTTTTATAGAATTAGTACATTAATGACTGTCTTCTGCAGGCCAGCTTGTGGCTTAGTGCTGCTAAAGGACTGAGGACCTAACACGTCAGTACTTAAATTCTCACTGTGCTTGAGCCGGTGTGCTGCCCTTCCCCTTCTGCGTTCCTGCAGTGCCACGTTTCGGCATGTTTGGCTGATCGGTCACAACCTCCCACCCCGACCTCACCACTTCACTCGTGACTAAGGTGACCCTGATGTTTAGTCTGTAAGTCGGTTTAAACATATAAAAAGCTGTGAATGGCATGATGTAAACCCAAGTGATTCAGACTGCAAATTGCTGTCGGTGTCTTATTCCAGAGTCAAATTCTCATCTTGGTTACACTGGTAGGTTTCCGTTAACTTAAACATCACTGCTTGATCTCCACTAATTGAATTTTTCTAATGGCTTCAAATGTGCAGCCAAATAAATTTATAAGCCTCAGTAAAGCAAACACCAGCCTCGTGAGTTACACTGGCTCACAGAAATGTGATTCCTATTTTAATGCTTTCCCATAGTCATGCCTATTACCAACAGTACCTTTTGGGTAACTTAACATTTCTAGTATTATCACTACTAAGTTACTGCTTTTTCATGTAGATTTACAGCCTGAGCTATTCAAAACATAAACACATCTCTATTACTTGCAAAACATTTCACTATCTTTCTCTATAAAATATTATTCAAGCAAAATCGTACCATCACTACAAACACACCTACACGTTTAAGAGAATTTGGAGGGCTTTGTGTGTTTCTTCATACAGTAATTACTGGATAATACATTACTGTTCTGTGAAATCTAAACAAATGTGAGCAGCTGCAGTTAGGATCCTCCCTGCATTGTTTTCAGTGCTCTTTTCCAAGCATGTAAAGTTAAATCCAAATGCATCTGTCTACTGAGAGTTAAATGTTAGTAATTTAATGAGAGGGAGTATTATGTTTCATACTAAATAAATACGCCTTTTCATAAGTTTAATATTTTACGTATGTGAACAAACACAGCTCTGTGCACTAGTGATGGCCAATTTCTGCATGGATCGGTTTTTGGTCTTGTGTTTAAGAGCAAACGACTTGAAAAGCAAACAAGCACTCTTTTCCCTTCTTTTACACTCTTTTCATACTCTTGGTCTTACCGCTATTCATCTACAGGCAGAAAAGATGTCGCAGTAACTGAGACCGCACTTCCAAATACCTTAAATTTCTGAAAGGTATTTTGATTCTTCAAACTGCTATCTAAATTTTATGTAACAGTCACCTCCTCTACCCCAGATGTCGGGGTCAAACGTGTTAGGTGCCAATTGGAGTTCAGGAACACCCAGAAGTGAGGGCAGCGAAAGGTAAGATAGCAGCATATTCAGTTGAAAAATGGAAGAAAAGAATGAAGTTACGAAACCCCATTTGCAAGGCACCAAATACAATTTCATTTCCTGACTCAAAAAGATCATGGTAATGATTATTGCATTTTTGCAAGATGATTCTTTTTCACACTAGAATAAACAAATTTAAAATAATTAAAAAGCCATTAAAATGCTAATACAGTTACAGAGGCACCAGAAAACTAATCCTTCTGGGACAACGGAGGTCATATTTTCTGCTTTCCCTCAAGGTGGGATATTTAAGGTTTGCAGCAACACATGGTATTTTTACTGGAAACAGGTGAAGGTCTTTTTGCAGACAAGGGCGCTTTTCAACAGTTGGTGGCAAAAAGATGAGTTATGAAGCCTACTTGCTGGCTGGCTAGTTCTGCCATTTCCAGGGGAAAACTTAAAAGATACCATAAAGAACACAAGAAGAATTCATGATCTGTACACCGAGGCCTGGGCATTACCAAGGTACCACCAGAAGGATGTCACCTTCAGTGAACAAGGGCTGACAGCTTCATTTCTAAACCAGCCAAGGCAGGAAAACAAATAGGACAACATTTCTAAATGCTGTATTTGGAAAGCTATGGCCAATTTTTCAAAATAAGGGGCAGTCCAGCTTCTTTTCCAATAGATTTTGTATATTTGTGTGAACTCAGGCAGCCCAGTATGGTAAATGAGAAAGCCTGCCGCCCCGTTTGTGTTAGCTCTTCGTGTCTGGAAGGAGAGAAGATCTTTACCTGCCCTATCAGGGATACTCTCCTTTGCTAACAGCAGACCTGGCCTGTGGGTGCTGCACACATATCATTCCCGTTTAAAACCCTGTGCGTGTAATACGTTGTACTTCCCAGGACTGGGCAAAACCACAGTGCTCTAATTCATGCAGGAGGATTTCTTGACACATTGTGTAGTCATCCCTACGCTCCGCTCCTGCAGGGAATGCAGACTCGGCGGTGGGAAGACGTATATTCGAGCACTTAAAGAGCAAGACAAAAAACGTTTAAGAGCTACCTGAACATCTCACTCCCTGAGCGATGAGACCCCACATGAAGTTGGCGCAGTATTCGCACCAGTGCGGACCTCGAAATGTGTGGACCTGGAACACAAATGGGGGAAAAAAAAAGAAATGGGGTCATTGGGAGGCAGATGGTCTGACAGATGGAACAAGTAAAATGGATAAACAACAGAGGACTCAGTAGGAGTAAATCTATAGCACACAGTGCCCACATCTTTCCAAAGTCTGGATGAAATAAACCATGGGAACAGAAATGTGCTTTGATCTTGAAGTTTATCTTTCAATAGGCTTAACATAACAGAGAACTGGGCTGTGTAAGACACTGAAACCAAATCATTTTTGCTAGCTGACATTTCAGCTAGCAAAGTTACAGCAGAGCGGAGGAAACCAGGTTCACTAGTCAAAGGAGAAAAAAGTAAAATTAGCAAGCCAAAGAACTGCAGTCAGTGCTTTTATTTGACTAGCTCAAACAAAACAGGGCTGCTTCTGAGATTCACACTCTCTTCAGCAGCTCACTTGAAAGTAAGGGAAATGAAGTGACAGCAAATCCCCGCAATCACACCACATGCCGATTCCTGATAAACATATGCAGCCACAGATCTAGTGCAAAACCAATGCACTCACAAAGCAATTATATTGTAAGCACCTGTGTGCTACTCGCAGTACCACACAGGTCTTCCTTAGCACACTATGACTATGGTGTTACATGTGCATTTATGCACAAGGACCCTGAACAAAGTTCACGGGGATCATTGTATCAAAGGAAATAATGAATGATTTGTGCACTTATTCCAGGCTACGGTTGGGTAATGATCTGATTTTGCGCATTTGAATCCATTAGTGGTATAGGCAAACTACACCCTTCCACGCTGTGTTAAGCAAACCGATCTCACATAGGCAAGAGATGTCGCTAGGTCCTTTTTCAGTACACTAAATTTCATTTTGCTGCTGTCCACGCAACAGTAAATAAGACAAAAAAAGGCCTGCAGATTGCTGACAGAACATACCGGCTTCTCCACCACGTATTGCCACGGCCTCACTTTCTCAATTAAAATTACAAAGGCTATGATGGAAGACCTTTTCATTTGAGATATACGTTCTGGTAAAGTAAGCAGTTCATTTTCATTGGAAAGAAGAGTAAATAGTGAGGTTTATGCCTGTGGAAACGGAGACTTAATTGAGCTTAACAACACATAAATCATGCACACTCAGGCTGCTAATGCTTCCTTTCCCCTTTCTGTGTTTCGGTTTACTTACTGATCCTGCATACTGCTGAATGACCGCTTCCGGCCGCTGGCATGGGGGAAGTGACCCTTCTACTCTTCATAAAGTAATCTTTAGCTGGGAAAGAGAGGCTGTTGCCCTTCTCAAATAAACTTTGTAAAGTTTTAAGCGAAGCATTTGGCTTGCTAATGTTTTAGCCCCATTTGCCTGCAGCATCACACCTATACAAGTCTGCACTGTTAATTCTGTTACCCAGGAAGATGAAATACTGTAATTTTAATACAGACCTCTTTCTGATTTAATGATAAAAATGTGACACTGCTACTCGGAAGCGCCTGACAACAAATTACTCCTGACCATTTACTCATACAGTCACTAGTTACGTGAAAAAGCTAAAAACAATAGTAATCCTTCTTCTCTTTTGATAGTAAAAAGTCAAAATTGGAACATCTGACTGGATCGCATTTACTTTCCGAAATGGTGTTTTAGCTCTCAGCAAAATTTGTACCCCGGGAAACAAAACTTTGCCATGAACTTTGATATATACATATCTATCTATATGTATATGTACATTACCACTTCTTGCCTCTTTCATAGCTTATTTTGCAGAGGGAGCAGCATGAATTACAGGTAATGCTTTTAGCGGGGGTAAATAGGAGTACTTAGCAGCTGATGACCTGAGCTTAAGGCATACGTTCTGTGCGATCTTCAATACAAAATTGCGGATATGAAACTACAGATACAATTAATTATGGCTGCATTTTTAGATTGATAACTACATAATTAGTGGGTCTGCACCTGCATTTAATTGTGGATGAAAATCATCTGCTTTGGGAATATAGCTAACTATATCTTCTGCTTTGCTGGGGTTTCCAAAAGCTAACCTGCTGAGAAGTGGCTGCAAAAGCTCATTCAGTATTTTTAAAACTGCACCATTTCACACTGAGCAGAACGTACATCACCGTTGCTAGGATATTTGGGTCCTACTTGCTCACTTTACACACAGCTTAATTTAGCTGATCTAGCGGTAGCATATTTAGAAAATGGTAGCTGATTATTTCTTGATCTCTTCTGCCATTAATGGGAAACAGCCAGCACCACTCGCCGAGGGCTCCAGCTGAGGAGTGCTGACTGCGCACCCTTCCCTTGCTGCCTTCAGCTCGACGGCCCTCAAAGGTTAGCTCTATTTATTCATTTACTTTAATTTCTCACAGCTCTGCATTTTGCTCAAATGGCAAGTTCCCAGCTGAAATACCCTTTAAAAAACTTGCTGTCTTGCTGATTTCTGGTCCAGCTGAAATAGGGAAATAGCCGCTACCTCTAACAGAAAAAGGCACACCTTCTTAAGTTTCTAGATGAAGGTGTAAAAATCTTTTAAGATACAGTTTTGAACTAAGTCTCTTATTCTTAGCTTGCCATTAATTTCAAAGAATTAATGAAAGAAGTTTACCCTTATGAGCGTAACACCTGAATTCAGTCCAAAGCTTTGGGCAGATGCTACATGCAAAACTTTCACAGGCTAAATGGGAATTTTGCCTTCAAGATTGGTCTTACAGCTATTTTAAGCAAGGAGAGGTAACGGCAGAAGTCTCAGCATTCTGAGATGGGTTTGCTGTTTTTGCCCCGTCCTTTGTAACTGCATCATTATGTGTGGACTGGGCTTGGATTTTTGGAAAAATGATCAAGATTTATTTATTATTTGTCCCTATCCCATTCTGCAGTCTCAAGAAATCTCTGTGTATACAAAGCATACGCTTGGGCTGCTGTTGCTACAGTCTACATACAATTTAAATTGTTAAGAAGAATTTACAGTGAAGTATTTCTTCATATGTGCCACAAAACCATTATGTTTCAAACTACATACAGTACTTCCCTATTTAGTTTTTCATCTTCTTCCCACACTGTCTAACTCCTTTAACTTCTTCACACTGTTTCCTTTCAATCTCTTTCTAAGTCTCTCAATGGAAAGTAGTTGCTTTCTTATACTCATCCTCTCTGTTGGCTACCTTTGGGCTCTCACACAATGTTATACTGCGGGTCTACTCGTGTTGCCTTCCTGCGCTCTGACCTTCTCCTTTCAATACTCCAGCGACCTTGCTTCCAAATGGTGGGATTTGTCCTACACCTACTATCTCATTAAGTCTTAGTCTGTGTCTGGTGTTTTACATAAGGAGTATTTACAGAGGGAGAAACTAAGGCAAAAGTTAAGGAGTTCCAATATAGTGGCAAAACAAAACAATCCTTTAACAGTATTAAGGAAATAAACTAAAAATTGCCTTGAATTGAAATACGTGGTTTTTTTACGAATTAACATGGTGCTGCTTCTGAGACAATTTTAGTCTTTATCTGGCTGGGCTTGAAGACTTTTCTATTTGCATCCAAAGAAAATAAAGAGATTTTGCAGACTTTCACTTGAATACATGTGCATTTTTCCTCTCCTGTAGACTCCTG